GCCACAGACTCGACGAGCATGACAAAAAAACCTACTCTAGCAGGCGCAGTTTTTTCTCCCTTTCTTTCAATGTCTGTAATCGTACGCACCTGTTTAACTTCCTACTGTTATCTGGATTCTAGGTAATGGCAATCGCAATAAACTGATATCTCTCGAGGATGCACTGAATATACTGCATTCGGGATTCATTCGTGGTCTAGGCCGCTTTCACAAAGGAGCGAGTGCACCCGGGATGCTCAAAGTTACAAACGCTATCAGCAGGGAGGTCCGAGTCGGAATTTCCTACGTGAGTATTTATTTCTGCTCAAAGTTTGTGCTCGCTTAAATTCCTATCCTCGCTGTATTTGTGGCTTCCCTTGAGTGGTTATGCGTAGCGGGTATTTAGGTTTCTGTCTGCGATGGCTTCGTCCGCTTTTGTCCATTAAGCCCTTAGTCTGTCGTCATTTCCACACACAGAAGCCATTTGCCTTCAAGTAGACCAGTTCCAGCCATCGACAGGTTTCCTTTTGAGGTGTAAACACCAGGCGTCATCAGTAATCCGGTAATAAAAAAGAATCACGCCTCCATCAGAATCTTATTGCGGTTTCTATCGGAAAAGTAGCGCGGGTTTCACAATGAGCGCGAAGCGGCTGATGCGAGGTCCTGCAACCATCGCAAAAGCATCCGTAATTGCCTGCCAGCCCCATACCATCCGACAAGAATGAGCTCTAGCAACACTGGCTATCCAAAAAATGCAACCTTAAGATGTACCATCCCCAAAACTTGTCTACCAGTCTATTGCAGCCCCTCGAACGCCTTCGGCGTGTCCACTAATGTAAAACAGGACTGAGGGATTTCCATCGCCTATAGCGACGAGAACTATAATTGCATCAAGGGCGTAGTGGTTGCTTGTTAATGGATTGGGCGTATGATTGGACAGACTCACGCGGCATCTAGATTACTCTCCCCACTCCCACCCTGTTTGACTTGAAAGACAGTCAATCCCACTGGAACAGGGATTGGCTGCAGTGGCTGTTTCCTGTTCACACACGAATCAGACTTCCTAAATCGCTGATCCTAATTGAGTAAAACATGCGATAAAGATCACAGAAGGGAGAGAACACCTCAGCCAAACCCTCAGTCTGGGGCATAATCGGGTTAACTCTGCTAGTTGGTGACATTTTAGTCCACAACGTTTAGCATCGTGTTGTTGTTTTAAATTTCGATGGTTTGAATTTAGCGCGGAAATTAAGCAGTGGAGGCGAAGTTGATCGACATTACCTACCGTATTATTGGGACGTCCGAATTCAGCCGACCACGGGTTAACTTGGGTACAGTGACTACCATCCTATAACTCCCCTGTTTCACGCGTTCCTCACCCGAACGTGCTTACATCCTGCCACCAGTCCTCTTTATCAAATCTGAGTCTGTGTTGGGCCTGCTTGGTTAAAAACAAGTCGGTGGTCTTCACAGGATTTTAAACTCCAACTAGCGAGAGTGGTCTCAGTCAAAGGAACTCTTTTGTGCCCTTTGCCGCATCGCGGGACGGGTGTTAAATCTGCGAGCTGATGCCGGATTGCGAATTGC